ACAAACTTCTTAAATTTGAGTTATTATTTCTTAAATACACGCATTTCATTAACATGTACTGTATTGCACACTTCTCGACCGCAGTTATGTCAATTCGAACCCTGGCATAGCAGACAAGCTCTACTAGAAAACACTAAATCTTTCATTTAGTCAATCACTCACTGTATGCATAATGCAAATGATCACTATATAGAAGAACATAGGCTATGTGAATTAAGATAGTTGATTAGAGCAATGTGTTCATTCTCTTGTGACTAGGTTTGAATCCCATGTCCCTAATTAATTAGAGTAGTTTAGAACATGACATTTTAAAAATGTAAAACAAAAATAGAACAAATGCATTTAATTCATTTGAACAGTATAGTTGGCATAACAGTAGCATTCGATTACATTTAACACAGATTAAAGCACTTTGCTAGCGTCATATTGGAACCTAAATTCTTTGTACATGTACTATTCCTTTTCTTTTTTTTCTTTTTTGGTCAAGTACATATTCTACTCCTATTATATCATATTTTGGGTTTTTTGACCCTGAAGGTATAACTTTTATCCAGCCAAATTGAAATAGGAAATTACTCTCAGTTTATACAGAAAAATTATTAACTTTTCATGGGTTTTAAACATTATTTTTTCTTTATATGTTATATCTAACATCCATAGGACTCCAAGCTAACCTAATAACACCCCTAAATGCCAATATCTATGTACTCAATTCATTGTATACCGCTTCCCTTTACAATCTTTAGGATAAATCTCTTCAAAGATAATAGATTGTCTCACTCTTTCACTCAATCAATTGTCTCACTCTTTCACTCAATCTCCAAGATACAAAAAAACACTTACTTTGGGTTCCTGAGAGAAGCTTCAAGATGACCCACCCAAAACTACGGCTGCATGTCAAGTTTTCCGATGTCGATGTGGTGGGAGTCTGATGCAGCAGTTCAAAGCACCAATACAATCAACGGAAATTTGTATTTATTACCAAGGAATATTATAACTCAAATATGGAAACAAAATTAAAATTGTTTAATAACCATGTGTAGAAGATCAATCGAGCGATACTGTAACTCAAATCTGGAAACAAAACAACAAATCAATCAATTTTCCTAAATAATTATAATGATATGAAAAATAGAGGCCCCAAAAGCAAAACAAAAAACAGAAAACCTAAAATCAATCTCGTTTGATTTACCAAATTTAATTGAACAAACCACACATATTCAAAACCCAATATCCTAATGCTTGAATTCAACTATTATTTTCATCGACACTACACTACTACAAAAATCAAAATAGACGACGGTAATCCACCGTCGTGTATCCGGTTTTTCAACCGTCGTGAAATCGACCGACATCTTTTGATGCATAAAACCACGACGGTAAATTCCTGTCGTCTATTATTTGTAAAGACGACGCTTTTACTAAGAACCGTTGTCTATTAGATGTAAAGACGACGGTTATAAAAACTGTCGTTAATTATCTGTAAAGACGACGGTTCTTTGTAAAAACCGTCGTTAATTATCTGTAAAGATGACGATTCTTTGTAAAAACTGTCGTTGTTTCAAAGTAAAGATCCTTAATTATAGGAGTAAAGACGACGGTTTTTATTTAACCTGTCGTTGATTATTTGTAAAGACGACAATTTATCATAAAAACCGTGGTCTAATAAGTTCCAAAACTATTACATTTTAGTTCTTTTCTGTTTCCTATGATGTGATACAACAATTTTAACTAGAAAACCAACCATAATGCTTTATTATGAAATATATACACTCAAAAATTATTTATTTAGAGCATTATCCATTACTATTAGGTCATTACCCAAGTCTCTATTGTCCCATTTTGAGTTTTTAATTTTTCAGAGTTATTACCCGGCCCTATAAAGAATTTAGCATTTTCACGTTTAATACTCGTATTGTACACGTACGTACATATTTTTCACGTTTAATACACTAGTTTTTTACAAAATTTTCAACAATACACACAAAATTAATGTATTATACACAAAATAGTCACATATTATTGACTAAAAATATTTAAATACTAATTATTCACTAAGAAAATAATAATTAAAGTAATTAAACAAGAGAAATTCAGAGTGCTATTCAATGGGTATACTTAAAAAAAATTATCCCTCTTTTCACAAAAACACGCCCTAGGTGTGAGGCGGGTCCTTTTTTAATTTTTTTTATTATAAATAGAATAGCCGGGCGGCTATACTCCGGATTTTTTTTATTAACAAAAGAGCCGGACACACACACACATATATATATATATATATATATATATATACATATATATATATATATACATATATATATATATATACAGTTATTCTCTTATCCGGATGTCCGCACGTTATTATCGTGCGGATCCTATTGTAAACAGGCAAGAAAACAGAGAGGGGTAGTACAAAATACACTGCGTCCGCACGATAATAACGTCCGGATGTCCGCATAAGAGAATTTCTGTATATATATATATATATGTTCACCCGTTTTGATTTGTTTCCTGTGATGGTAGGGTAAAGTTCCCCATTAATCCAAAGACCATGGTTGGTCAATAAATTAACTTTCTTTGTGTGTCGAGCGTGCCACCGTTAGCAATTTTTCAATTCTAACAGACTTGAGAGTAAAAAAAACTTGCGCCCCAAGCTATTGACTTTGAACAAACGATTGTGAATTTGGGTGAGGAATATCTCCCAAGTAAGTTCTTTTCTATGCCTTAGACTGGTAAGGACTTCACAATTTTTCACAGTATAGAACTGGTAGTTCTAGCCAGAATGAATGACAACAGAGTGAACCGCTTTCAGGCAGAACTCCCCTTTACAAAGCTCAAAAAGGGAAAACTGACTATAAAAAGACAAAAAGAGGGCTGTGCTTCTATTTCTGTCTGGGTGTCTGTTCTGGGCTGGACTGGGTACGCTTGTGCATTCGATTGCCGCAAGCGTTAATAATGCACGCCATGATTGAGCTTTTGTAAAAGTTTGGACAATTATTTACGACGTGCTCTGCACGCCATAAAAGAGTTATTACGGCATTCAATGCATGCCATAAAAGAAGGTTTTTATTCCCATTTAAGGCGTGTTTTGCACGCCGTGTTTGACCTTTTTTTTAATAAAAAAAATTAATTAATTTCCTTCCTACTCTTGTTTCATAGTAACAAAATACTTCTATGTTTTATTACCCTGGAAAAAAAAACAATGGTATTGCAACCAAACTTAAAAAGAAAACCAATCATAATCAATTCCAAATACAAACTCTTTATAGTATAAAAGAAACACATAAAAGTGTTGCCAAACCTACAAATAACTTGTTCACAAAACCTACAATTAACTTGTTCACAATCTCTCCAACCCATTCACTCATGAATATAATAACAAAAATCAATCTCTAACATATCAAACCACATCTAACCTATGCTCAAACTATGCAGCAGGGCTACCATCAGCTGGTTGTCCAATTATCCAGTCATGTTTTTGTTGTTGCTTCCAAATATCCTGTCAGCAACAGAACCATAAACTCCAATTTTTCAGGTATTATGATCAAGTAGGTAGTTGTGTGTGTAAATTAAGTTTACCTTGACATTCATCAATTGAACCACCACCTAATGTCTTGACATGAGCTTTTAGAAAACTGTTGTTGCTCCTGCACCACCAGAGAAACTAACGCAATTTCAGCTACTGTGTATTAAACTTTGAACTCAGAATTAAACACCCTAAACTCAATAAAAATCTACCAAATTACATGCATCCTGAAGCTGATTAAATAAACTTTAAAACCATATAAAATTTGACAGAAATGGTGCTCTAATTTATAAGATAAGGCAGTCCAAATAAGTGTTTCAAAACTGAAACTGCAGCCCCTGTTTTTGACAGATTTTGCAGTCATGCTTACCAAACTCAGGTATCAAACTTCAACCAAATTACAATCCTGGATATGTATAGTTTAAAACCAAGTACTTATACCTCAAAACTAACCCACAACCTGTGCAAAATTAACAGTCAACATGGGTAACTGAAACTTAACAACTTCTGCCCCAAAAGAGTTCTGAACAATCTTAAAAACAAGTATATAATCTCACATGAATAATTAACATAAATCTTGTATTGGGTCTGTCAATCTGTCAATCCCTTTTTGTAATAGAGGGTTATAACTTATGCTGTATTAGGAAGAAAGTAAATCAAACCTCTAGCTAGTCTTCTGAATAGAAACTTCAAAGGCTCTTCCACTCCAATACCATCCCAATTGGATAGCTTCCCTTCTATTTCAAACGCAAATTAGTCAATTCAATGCCTATACCAAAAGAAGGGGCAAATTAATCACTTAAAATATATACCTGATGCTCAGGGACTAAACTGTCATAGGGAACATCTATCCGGCTCTGTAGTCTGAGCAGGCATTCCTCCTGACAAAATCAAGGCAAACAAAAGAGCAAACAATCATACCATGTACATGTAACAAAAGCATATGTTTTGTGGGCTATAGTTCTAGGAAAGCATTTATATAGAGACCATTGGAAACTAAAGTAATAAAGCTGTACTGGATCTTCGAAAACTCCTACAATTGTTTATAGTAGATAACTTCCAGTGACATTGTCACGATGTTGGCCTATACAACTAAGTCGCAGAGCACAATCCAATCAGTCTACAATTATAACTTCATGACCCTCCAAAAGTTCTCTAGGGCCATATCAACTTCTAAAAAATCAGTATTTTCAAAGAAGATCTTGTATGACCATAAGCAGCACAAAAACCAGATTTAAACTCCTCAAAATTAAACCACAATTCATAATCATTTCTATCACCTGAAACTAGTTTTCACAGCTTTCTTGAACCCCTCAATCCTTCCCCTCTTACCACAGACCAAAACTTAAAACCAAACCTAAAGTAAAAAAAGCAGAGAGTAGAAAGGTATAAATTTAGCATATAAACTCAAGGTTATTAAAAGATCAAGACGACATTTGATTTTACCAACGCTGATGCCAAAATTTTTAAGCAACTGAAAGGAATGGATAAAGCAGCAGCACAACTTTTCCTAGATAAATCGCCAATCAATACAGAAGCTGGGTTAATTAAAATAACTATACATTCATCTCAAGAACAGAGAAGTCCTGATACTATTTTATATTTTCATGACAGCCTCACATCTCTTTCCACCCCCAGTCAAAGTAAAATACTAGTGTAATCAGATTAGCCTAAACTGACCAGGTATTTCAAATAGCAAAGAGCCCTAAAAGTTCATGCAGAAACTCCCCAAAAAAACATAGAAATCTGGTTAAATTTATACAGCAACTCCCTGCATAAAGAAGTCCAAGTGTGAGAAACAAACAGAATGTATCGAAGGCGTTGATAAAATCAGAAACTGGAAGTGTTACATTCAGGAAATTTTGGTATTCAAGTACATCACATTGGAGAAAGAACAAGAATTCCCTTTACGAATACAATTCATTAACCACAAACCAAGGACTCATACAATTCCTAACTAAAGAAACATAACTAAATTGAAAGAACGTTTTGATAAAATCTGGAAAATAAAAGAGCGATAGAGAGAGGTAGGGTTACCTTGAGATTACAGTCGTGAAAGGGTTTGGGAAGCAAGAGGATTTCTAGATGAGAAAGAATGATAGATGGTTTGGAGTTGGAGAGAATCGCAGGGATTTGGGGTTAGATAGAGCCAGAGAGGGTTTTTGGTTAGAGAGAGAGAGAGAGAGAGAGAGAGTAAAATTTAGGGAAGAAGAAAAGAATGCTACTCGGAAAAATTTGAGGGGAGAGTATTCTGAAATAAGAAAATTCTAAGGGGGTAAAACGAAGAGTTTTCGAGGGCAACAAAAATTAAATGAGGGGCCTTTCACGGCGTGCACAATATGGTCTTCTTTCACGGCATGCATGTTTTGCACGCCATTAATGTGGTCTTCTTTTGATGGCCGCACGCCATTAATACCCAAAAATTAAGGCACGCAACAAAAGCACGCCGTAAAAGAGGAAGGGGAAATCACATTTACGGCACGAAAAAATTGCACGCCATAAAAAGTAGTTTTTTACGGCGCGCAAACTATGCACGCTGTAAATACCCAGTTTTCTTTTAGTGATGGATAGTTTACAATTACTGCAGAAGCAAGATATGGTGATTGGCTTACCAGAAATTACATCTAAGAAAGGAGTATATGAAGGATGTGTTTTGGGCAAGCAATGCAGAGAAGTTTTTCCAAAAGAAACCACTACTAGAGCATCTACTCCTCTCGAGTTGATACATAGTGATGTTTGTGGTCCAATGCAAACAACTAAAAAGGCAGGAAACTGTTATTTTCTCACATTCATAGATGACTGCACAAGGATGTGCTGGGTCTATTTCTTGAGGTATAAGTCAGATGTTTTCCGTGTCTTTAAGAAGTTCAAGGCCACAGTTGAACTGCAAAGTGGATATAAGGTGAAGAAGCTAAGAAGTGATAGGGGAGGAGAGTACACCTCTAATGAGTTCAATGGATTCTGTGATGAAATGGGAATGGGGAGGCAACTTACAATGGCATACTCACCACAGCAGAATGGTGTGGCTTAGAGGAAAAACAGGACTATAGTGGAGATGGCTAAGTGCATGATGTTTGAAAAGAGCATGCCACTTGATTTTTGGGCTGAAGCTGTAAATACAGCAGTGTACATTCTGAACAGATGTCCAACTAAAGCTTTGGACAAGAAGACACCATTTGAGGCTTATACTGGAAGAAGGCCAGGAATCAAGCACTTAAGAATATTTGGTTCCTTGTGCTATGCACATGTTCCAAATCAACAGAGACAGAAGCTGGATTTGACAAGCAAAAGGTATGTATTTCTAGGATATGGCAGCTGTGAGCAAGGGTACAGGCTGTATAATATTGCTACTGGAAGTGTGATTATTTCAAGAGATGTGGTATTCAATGAAGATGCAAGTTGGGATTGGAATGCACAAAAGGAATGCAGTATTGCAATTCCTCTAACTAATATGTTATCTGAGAAAGAGAAAGAAACTGATGATACAAATCTGACTCAAGCAGAGGTCTCAGAAGAAGAACAGATTGAGGTTATTTCAGGTCCACAAGATGTAGATCATACACCTCTGAAATATAAGAGTATTGCAGAAGTGTATGAAAGGTGTAATATATGCATTGTTGAGCCAGAAACCTTTGAAGAAGCTATCAAGGATGCAGCATGGCAAAAGGCAATGGAAACTGAACTTGAGATGATTGAAAAGAACAATACTTGGGAGCTGGTTAATAGACCATCTCATAAGCTGGTAATTGGAGTCAAATGGGTTTATAAAACTAAGTTAAATCTTGATGGCTCAGTTTAGAAGAACAAAGCAAGGCTTGTTGCAAAAGGATACTCTCAAAAGCCTGGAATCGATTTTAATGAGACATTTGCAGCTGTTGCTAGGCTTGATACAGTTAGAACTTTGATTGCCTTGGCTACACAGAGAGGTTGGAAGCTGTTTCAACTGGATGTGAAGTCAGCATTTCTGAATGGGGTATTGCATGAGGAAGTATATGTTGATCAACCACCTGGATTTGTGATTAAAAACAAAGAAGATGGAGTTTACAGACTCAAGAAGGCTCTGTTGTTTATGCCTAATAAATCACGGCCATGAACTGGCCGAAGGAGCCCATTTTCTCGGCCCTAGCATTTGCTTGTAAAACTGAAACGCAGCGTTTCGCCAAGATGTTGGGCCTTCCTGAAAACAAAAGAAAAACGCTAAGGCATGATCATCTCAGCCTCGATCGTCGGCCGAGGCCGAGGCCAAACAAAATCACGACCAAAGGCATTAAAGTCGAATCATCACGTGACAACAGGGTCCTATGCTTCATTTAATGAAGTATTGCCTCTGTTTATTGCAGCAAACCCACTGCCCACGAGTAAACATTTAATGCACGAGAGAAGGTGGGAAGTGACTGAAGTCAGGGATTGGCGACAGAAAGCAGAGCGATTAGATGCAAACATTCTCACAAGGATTCTTACAGCTTGAGAGATTAGGTTACCAACTATCAGAGCAATAAATGCGTCTCTATGGCCAGAAGCTCAGAACCCACGATCAGGGCAGCGGCCGAGATTCACCAGGATTTATGGGGTCACAGCACCATACTTCACGATCCCAAATGTCGATTAGACTACCCATTTGTTCTAATCAGGCTCCACCATGCGGATTTTCAACCTCGAAGTACTCCTCCAAGAACTCTTCCTATAAATACGAGGCTCAAGCTACATTCAACGGGTTCAAACACCAAACCAAAGCCTCCCACGGAGCAACTTATTTTTTCTTGTAATACACTTTCAATATCTTTACTTGCTTTCCTAGGAGTAGTGTTAGACTGTAAGGAAAATCAATTCATTAATATATCATATCATACGATTTTCAAGGCGCCGGAGCACCATCTCTGTTATTCGCTCATTCACCCTATATATCATACGACCGTCGCTCGTCGAGCCACGCGCCGGAGCACCGGCCAAAACCCACCACCAACACCATCACTAAACGGCCTTGTAGTTCAGGCCGTGAACCTAACAGCCGAGATCAGTTCCTCTCTCGGCTACAATCGTTTGATTAGGAGACGAGTTCAAACAGGCGCACCACTTAACCATTTTCATACACATCAACCATCTCGACACACGGTAGACCGTGCTGGCACGCCCGCGCACAACCGCACCGCATCCAAAAGCAGGAAGTCGCGTGTCAACGCATATCCCCTCGGCCCGGAACTCCAGGCCGTGAGATTTGCGCGGCAGACACTTTTGGCACGCCCGGTGGGACACTTGTCAAAAACTTATGGTGGAAACTAGGGCACATGCAAAGCTCAAAGACAAAGCAGTCGAAATGACTTCTGAGATTCCTGAGTCCACCTCACCAATCACAATTACCGAGACCGAACATACGGTCGGGATCTCGGCCAGCGTTCCAGTAACGACGGATCGCACGGCCGAGTCCATGCAGGAACAAGCAGTGGTGGAGGATCTGATGTCCAAGCAGGCCTACAGGATAGAAACATCCTTTATGGCCGCAATGGACAGATTCTCCTCAGAGCTGCAGACGCTTTTTCAGGAGAGGATGCCGGCAACCTCGCCCGCAACACCTCCTAGAGCCGGACAGAGAAGCCAAGAGCGCGAAAGGGTCGAGCCTTACGGCGAAAGCAGTAGCCTCGGCGTCTCTGGCCGCACCCAAGCATCAGGTCACGACCAGCATTCTCTGCCGCCAACAAACAGCTGGGGGTAGTCCCAGCCCACGTGGGCGAGTCCCGGACCAGCCTACCCGGCAGAGACAGCGCACGGACCGCTCCACGCTTTGGCCGTATCACTAGGGCAAAGTAGCCTAGCGCATCCCACGATCCACCCGCTCGGCCCAGTTCATACTGCGGCCGTCCACACTCATCCTAGCCCAAGCAACGCGACCGCTGTATCATCACAACAGTACGGTCAAAGCAATCCGACCGTCTCACCACCATTGCAAGCATCGTCGTTTCCGTTGGGCTCTCACCTTCACTACGGGTCGGCCATTCCAACGTCAGCGCATGCGCACCTTGGCCAAACCCACGGTGCTCATCTGGCGTCAACCAGCTAGGTCATCCCGGCCGAGCCCCTTGTTCAAGTGGCCCAGCAGATAAGGCCACAGAATGAGGTGCAACAGGTCACGCGGCCATATGCGGCCCAGTAGGAGGCGCCACCTCAAGGGATCCGGTTCGAAGATGTCCGGCGGATGATCGAAGACGGCCTAGCTCCGCCAGAAATCGACCGGACCCCTCTTCCTCGGAACTATCGATTGCCAGAATTCATCCTATTTTCCGGGGATGGGCAGACCTCCTCAATTGAACACATAGGCCGTTTCACGGCCCAGTGTGGAGAGGCCGATTCGGACGCCCAGAAGCTCCGTCTATTTGTTCATTCTTTGACCGGCGCAGCGTTCTCATGGTTCATAACCCTTCCGCCGAACTCAATAAGGGATTGGTCTGATATGGAAAGGGTATTCCACGAACATTTCTATCAGACCAACCGAGAAATAAAGGTCGCCGAGCTGGCAAGGATGAGCCAGGCGTCGGACGAATCACCTCGCGATTACCTACAACGATTCAAAACATGTAGGAATTGGTGCCGCACGAGCCTGCCAGAGAGGGAGTTCGTCAAGATGGCCGAGGAAGGATTGGAATTCGAGTACCGGAAGAAATTCCAGGGAATCGAATTCC